GACACCGACTTCTTCTTACCGCAGCCCAAAATCTGTGCATTTTTCAACACCGCCTCAGGACGAACGTCAGACGTTCAGTAGCGCTGGTCATTTCGGCAATTCACCGCGAAGTAGACGACGTTCAGCCAAGAAGAACCTCTCTGAAGTGTTTACTACATCTGCGACATCAAACCACCTGTTTGTCGAGCCGTCAAACGACAGTGAGGGCCAACAGCTCGTGCCGCCCATTGTCACTAACTCAGACACTGATGGGAAATATTTTCTTCGGAAATGCCGACCCTAAATTGTATAATAAAATTTTGCCATAATTTTATGGCACCGTATGGTTGTTTTTTGTTATTTATTGATTTGCGATGCTAACTTATAATTGTTGTTTGGTTGCAATAAAAATTTTACAATATGCTTTGTTTTGATTTCCATACTGTGTCGGCAGGTTGGTTTATATACTAGTTTGTATTGAACGCTTTGGTGTGTCTTTACATTCGTGTGTAAATTTCTAGAGTTTGTGTAATCATGATTTCAAGTTGGAGAGGCGATGATAAGATTGCAGAAGGTAGCTCAGATTACATAGGGCTTTATTGCAATTCGTTATTTAATGTTTATGTGCTTAAGTATCTTTCACTGTATAGCTGACAGTTTTTTCAGAAAATAGGTTTATTCCGTTGTGTAGAAGGTCAGCACCAACTAAAACTAAGCCACTGCTCACGATCCGGAAGGATACTGGACAGAGTGAATAATTTACACATCCCTTATGGTTAAGGTACTTTTATGTTTCGTATAGGATGCCATATAACTTCTTCGAACCGCAGTGATTATGTATTTTCTGCGAAGAAGCGTGTTATTGTAATATAGCCTCTGTTCATTTTAAGAGGTTGAGTTCATCGTAAACGCTTTAGTAAGAGCGGGTTCAAAGTAGTCGGTAAAGACACGTCTTTCTACTGCGGCTTTCGCTAAAATTCACCGTGTATGTTAAATAACAGCTTAATTTTTCGTGAATCTAGTTCTAGAAGTTGAACTTTATACTGAAGAATGTTATAGCTTGCCAGCTTGTTGGTAGCACGCTTCAAGTCATGCATATTTCAAGAACGTGGCTAGGCTTCTTGAAGTTCAACAGCTGTTCGGCATACGTTCACAATTTATCCCATAGAAACTAGGTGGTGGAAGACGCTGTTGTAACTAGTATGGGAAGGAAACGCCTCGGCTGCTGCTCGATTGCGGAAGATTTGGAGAAGCCCGACAAATATTCGGTGAAGAAATGTCTAAACGGTCACTGCGTTCCAAAAAAGGAGCAACATTTCGACGATACCATACGTTTGGTCGTCGCCAGGAGTACGGAGGCGGTTCTTAAACGGGGGACTGCCGCAAAACGCGTCAAGACGGCGACGACGGTCGTCCCACCGATCGGCAAATATCAACGGGATAAATGGTCACCGAAGAAGGCTGCGGGTTGTTCCGTTGAATACGTTGCCCCGAAACCAAAGGAGGTCAGCAAAGAGGCCGATGTAGACGGTGACGACGACGACGACGACAACTGCCGTCCTCGTAACCCGTTCGATTTGTCTACGTATTCGATGCCGGACTTCGCCATTGCCAACTACCGTCGTTACCTTGACGAAATCAACGCTACGGCTGACGCGCACGAAGACCCACCTGACGATCTGTTTTATGCCAGGGGCACCAGGCGTCAGTCGATCTTTTACGACACGGATGCTGGTTGTTACTCGAACGAAACCTTGGCGCCAAAGAACCGTACTGGCCGCAAAATGAAGAGCTCGATCCACGTGTTTATGCTGTCCAACTACCTGCTGAACACGAACAGCAACCGTTCGTCGTGTCTGCTGAACCCTGATAGTTTTCCGAAGCTGTTAAAGACGCTACATCGCCCCTCGACTCGACTGCGGGTGGCTCGCAAGCGCAGGAGACGCGCCGGTCAAAACGGCAATAGCGGCAACCACTCGAGGGCAAGGTGGCATTAGGTGCGATTTAGGCATCGTTTATGTTCCGTTCTTGCATTCGTCCACGCTGTTGTTCACTCACTTGTTTGCACTTGTTCGATCCAGATCGTACCTGATTTATTATGTACATACTTCGTTGTTGCCTCTCTCCGTTTCATGATTGATT